ACCACAAGAACCTGTTGTGGTTTAAGCCCAGCTGGTACCTCGGAACCACACAGCCTCTCGCTCACTCCCCCACCTTCTTCCTCTGCCTGATCCTGGAGGGATGGGGAGGAGAATCGGAGGAATGTAACTCCCACGGGTTGAGATAAGAGCACTCCAGTAACTAAGGTATAATACAAACCACTACTGCTACCACCAATAATAATAATGATAAGGGAAATAACAAGGGGAGAGAATACAATTGCTCACCACCCAGCCTGACCTGAGCAGTGATCTGGGCCTTCCAGGTAACTCCTCCCGGTTTATACTGGGCATGACGTGCTGTGGTATGGAATACCCCTTTGGCCAGTTTGGGTCAGGTGTCCTGTCTTTGCTTCCTCCCGGCTTCCCCTCCTCCCTGGCAGAGCATGAGACTGAGAAAGTCCTTGGTCGAAGTAAACATTACTGAGCAACAAGTAAAAACATTGGTGTTATCAGAATTGTACCCAGGCTGAAAGTCAAGAACACAGCAGTGCACCAGCTACTAAGGAGAAACCCAGGACACTGTGGCAGATGGTAGGGCTGTGTTTCTAGCCCTGGGGCAGTCAGTTCCAAGTGTACTGAATGCCCCTCCAAGTAAAAGCAAAGTCTGAATTGAATTAGATTTCAGCATAAGTAAACAGCCCCTCTTTGTCCTATATCTGGCCCTTGTACAAAATCCAGCTGTGTCCTTTGTGGACATTCTTGTAGCAAAAGGCTAATACACAAAGAGATAAAGTGCAACCTAGTGTAAGTAGGTAATTGCCTACTACCAGCCAACACTTCCTGTAACTCTCCAGCAGAAGAAAACTCAAGAGAGATATCATTAGCTGGGTGGTGTTCTAGTTCTCTCTATTTGATCATCTAGGGTGAGGTGGTTTTCTGTTACAGGAATATGACCTCCAGTCTCTGTAGCGAAGTCTCAGCAGTTTCCCTGTGTAGGGCAGCAGGATGCCCACCACTACCATCTCAGCCTGTATTTACAAAGTGCTCCCCAAGCTTTGTGGGAACCTCCAGCTCCAGTCCACTAGGCTGTGGAGCCGGCACCTGAAAAGGCAAAAAAGAAAGACCTTGGGAATTGCAGGCCAGTCAACCCAACAACCCAACTTGAATACACAGACAGATGTGAGAGAAAAATCATAAGCAGTCACTTTGTAAGTACCTAGGGGATAATAAAGTGATAAGGAGCAATTAACATGGATCTGTCGTGGGAAGATCATGTCAAACCAATCTCATTTCCTTCCTGACAGGGAGATGCTCCAGGGAACAAGAGAGAAGCAGCTAATGTGGCACATTTAGGCTTTTGACAGAGGTCCCCCTAAGATACAAAGATACTGAGAAATGGGATTCTACTATGATGGACTGAAAAGTTGAACCCTAAGTAGGTGTTAGTAGTTTGCTGTCCATACCAGGGGACCCAAACTATTCATGTGTTTGTTAGCAGCTTGGATAACAAGCTTGGATGGAGAGGACAACTGAAAGGTGGTCATTACACTGACCTGATGGAAGCACCTGTTTTAGGGGAAAGAAACAATATAGCATGGTTTTGGGATACTGCCCAAATAGTCTGAGATAACCATATGAAATCCAGTAAAATGCTGCACATAGTAGCTGGCAGAAACACATACAAAATGGGGAGGCAGTGGTCAAGAAGATGTATGACAGAGAATGACACATAGCTAACTGCAGGATAAGTTTCTTCTTGCCAAAAATGTGACTGTCATTCTGAACCACAGTAGCAGGAAACTGGTGAGATCTGTAAGACGGGGGGAAACTATCCCACTCAACTTGCTGTTAGCAAGTCCTTGTCTAGAGTTCAGGTTCTAGGAAGGTGTGACCTAAATGGAAAGAGATGAGAAGTTTGGAAAACATGACCCATGAGTAAAAGCTGAGTAACTGAGATTGTTTAAACTAGAAAAGAGAAGGCTGAAGGGAAACATAATAACTCTTATAATACACAAAAGAAGACAGTCAAGTGTGCAGTTGTTTGTTTTTTTCCCTCCTACTCTTAATAAAGACCAGGAGAAATAGAAGTAATTTCTTGTTAGATTAAGCAATTAGATTTTCAGAATTAATTAGTTTAGATATTCAAGAAGATTTTCTAACTTAAAGAAGGGCTATCTAGGACAGGGGGAAATCTCATACAGTAGATTTTAAGGAAAAGCAGGACATAATTTGCCAAGGTTGATCTAAGGATAGGTAGATATTGCCTCAGAGCAGGAAAACGAACAAAATAACCATGCCAAGTCCCCACGAGCCTCATGCTCCTGTGACTGCTGCAGGAATCCCTGCCCAAGCTCAGTAAAGCACAGCCCAGACCTTAATTGCAGTGGCTCTCTGCAGTGATTCTCCACAGAGATGCCAGTAACTCATTTAGCAGAATCATGCCATTTACTCCTGGGACCAACTAGTCTGCAATGAGACACCTACACAGCATTCTTTGTCAAGACTGACATTTCTCCAGTCCCACCTGTACTTTTGCTTGTGTATTTTCTGCTGGTTTTTGTTTCTCTTGATGTTCCCGTCATTCTGCCCT